GATTGTGATGCCGATGACGCTGACGATGCCGATGCTGTTGATGCTGATGGTGATGATTATGATGATGCTGGTGATGATTATCATGCTGATGCTGACGATTACGATGACGATGACGTTGACGACGACGCTGACGATGACGATGACGATGACGATGCCGATGATGACGATGATGATGATGAACATGCTGATGATGATGATGATGCTGATGGTGACGGTGATGGTGATGGCGAGAATGATTCTGCTGATGATGGTGATGATTGGTGATGTGTGGTTGATGATGTTGACGATGATGATGATGATGATGTTGTTAAACATGATGATGGTGATGATTACGTGGATGATGGTGACGCTGATGATGAGAGGATGATGATGGTGACGGTGATGGTGATGACGACGACGATGGTGGTGGTGATGATGCTAATGCTGATGGTGATGCTGCTGAGGATGATTGTGATGATGGCCATGATGCTGATGATGCTGCTGCTGAATATGCTGATGATGCCGATGCTGCTGATGGTGATGATGGGGATGCTGATGATGATGATGCTGACGATGATGCTGATGATGCTGATGATGGTGTTGCTGGTCATGCTGCTGATGCTGCTGATGATGATCATGCTGCTGAGTCTGATGATGACGATGATGATGATGATGATGACGATTGTGATGTTGACAGTGAGGATGATGGTGATGTCGATGCTGCTGATGATTATGATGTTGATGATGATACTGGTGCTCCTCTGCTGCTGATGGTGATGATGATGCTAATTGGCGATTTGTGAACGACGATGTTGATGACGATTATGCTGATGTTGTTGCTAATGGTGATGATGATGTTGATGAGGATGCTGATTGTGAGTGTGATGATGCTGCTGATGATGCTGATACTGCTGATGATGATGCTGCTGCTCATGATTATGATGATGGTGACGGTGATGGTGATGGATGGTGATGATAATGATGCTGCAGATGATGAGAGGATGAGGATGGTGATGGTAATGGTGATGCTGATGGTGATGATGCTGATGATGATAATGATGAGGATGATGCTGATACGATGATGGTGCTGCTGATGACGATGATGATGTAGATACACGTGGATATGATGTCGATGATGATGTTGATGCCGCTGATGCTGCTGATGCTGATGGTCATGATGATTGTGATGATTTTGTCGATGACCATGCCGATGCCGATGATGCTGATGATGCTGATGATGATGATGATTATAGTAAGGCTGCTGATGCTGAGGACGACTCCGATGATCATGATGATGATGATCATGGTGATGCTAATGCTGATGGTGAGGAGGATGCTGATGATTCTGATCATGCTGATGGTGTTGATGATGCACTGCAGCTCATGCTGATGATGTTGGACATGATGAGGATGGAGATGAGGATGATGATGCTGATGAGGATGAGGCTGGTGATGCTGCTGATGATGATTATGATGGTGGTGGTGGTGATGGTGGTGGTGATTGTGACGGTGACGGTGATGCTGGTATGACAATGGTGTTGATGATGATGACGATGATGATGTTGATGATGATGATAATAATGATGATGCTATTGCTGATGGTGACGCTGATGATGCTGATGCTGCCGATGCTGATGATGCTTTTGCTGCTTATGCTGATGACGATGATGCTGATGATGATGAGGATGAGGATGCTGACGATGCTGCTGATGATGATGATGATGCTGCTGGTCATGCTGCTGATGCTGCTGATGATGATGATCATGCTGCTGAGTCTGATGATGACGATGATGATGATGCTGATGATGATGATGATGATGGCGATTGTGATGGTGACAGTGAGGATGATGGTGATGCCGATGATGCTGCTGATGATGATGATGATCATGATACTGGTGCTCCTCTGCTGATGATGATGATGCTAATGTGCGATGTGTGAACGACGATGTTGATGATGATTAGGACGATGATGATGATGACGAGTATGCTGATGCTGTTGCTAATGGTGATGATGATGCTGATTGTGATGCTGATTATGCGGGTGATGATGTTGCTGATGATGCTGATACTGCTGATGATGATGCTGCTGCTCATGATTATGATGATGGTGACGGTGATGGTGATGGATGGTGATGATAATGATGCGGCAGATGATGAGAGGATGAGGATGGTGATGGTAATGGTGATGCTGATGGTGATGATGCTGATGATGATAATGATGAGGATAATGCTGATAATGATGCCCATGACGATGATGGTGCTGCTGATGACGATGATGAGATAGATACACGTGGATATGATGTCGATGATGATGTTGATGCCGCTGATGCTGCTGATGCTGATGGTCATGATGATTGTGATGATGTTGTCGATGACGATGCCGATGCCGATGTTGCTGATGATGCTGATGATGATGATGATAGTAATGCTGCTGATGATGATGACGACTCCGATGATCATGATGATGATGGTCATGAACAGGCTAATGCTGATGGTGAGGAGGATGCTGATGATTCTGATCATGCTGATGGTGTTGATGATGCACTGCAGCTCATGCTGATGATGTTGGTTATGATGAGGATGGAGATGAGAATGATGATGCTGATGAGGATGAGGATGGTGATGCTGATGATGATGATGGTGGTGGTGGTGGTGAGAGTGGTGGTGGTGATTGTGACGATGACGGTGATGCTGGTATGACAATGTTGCTGATGATGATGACGATGATGATGATGCTGATGATGATGATAATGATGATGCTATTGCTGATGGTGCCGCTGATGCTGCTGATGCTGATGGTCATGATGATTGTGATGATGTTGTCGATGACCATGCCGATGCCGATCATGCTGATGATGCTGCTGATGATGATCATGCTGCTGAGTCTGATGATGACGATGCTGATGATGATGCTGATGATGATGATGACGCTGATGATGATTATGATTATCATGATGATGGTTGTGGTGATTGTAGTGGTGGTGAGTGTGACGGTGACGGTGATGATGCTGACGGTGATGATGATGATGATGATGATGCTGATGATGATGATGATGATGATGATGATGATGATGATGATGATGATTACGACCTAGATGATGATAATGATGATGATGATGATGATGATGAGGAGGATGAGGATGAGGATGATGATGAGGATGACGTTGATGCCGATGATGATGACGGTGATGCTTATGCTGCTGCTGATGATGCTGCTGCTGCTGGTGATGCGCGTATAGCTGTACCTCGAGTTCCTGTTTCGAATCTCCCTCCTCCCCCTCTCCTCCTCCTCCTCCTCCTCCTCCTCCTCCTCCTCCTCCTCCTCCTCCTCCTCCTCCTCCTCCTCCTCCTCCTCCTCCTCCTCCTCCTCCTCCTCCTCCTCCTCCCCGCCCCCCTCTACGCTCCTCCCTACTCTCGTCCTCCTACGACCCACGATCACCTCCCCCCACCCCCGGCGGCGCGCGGGAGGGGCGCGCCGACGGCGACGGCACCACCGGTGGCGGGGAGCCGCCGCTGGCGAAGGCGTGCGGCCCGCCCGGTGCTGCTGCTGCAAGGGGGGTGGAGCACGAAGGTACAGTCTTCGCAGGAAATTGGCGAACACTCATGTCTCATTCCTCTCTTCATGCCCTCCCCCCCGTCCCCCCCGATGAGTCGAAGAGGAGAAAGCGCCGTGAGCATGGACTATTAGCGCTCCGCGCCGATTTTTCGGATCCGCGCTGGGGCCCCTTGGCGGCGCCTCTGGTGCCGCCCCTGGCGCGCTCCGCGCGCCGGGGAGGGGGGTCCAGCGCGGACCCAAGAAATCTGCACTGAACGCTGCAAGTTTCTGCTTTTTCTTTTTATGGTGATCAAAGCTGGCGTAGAATATCATGAGTTGCACTTCGACTGCAGTCTTCTCTGCGCGTGCCATCTTCGAATTTTCGGGGAAACTGGATTTCTGCCCTGTGCCGTAAGCCAGTTTCTTTTCGGGCTCGGATTCGACAGCGCGCATTTTGTGCGTTTGCAGCAGAACCCAAGAAAGTCAGGTCTTGACGCCTGGCGTATCCCCACTAGCCCATCCAGCAACGATGCCCAGGCGAGTTGCACTGACCAGGGAGGATGTGAGAATGTATGTTCCATAGCCCCCGCTGATGCGGATGAGAGTGATCGGGGCTGGGGGGGGGTTGTCGGCAGGCTGCGAGGCTCGAGAGGAAGTTTGAAGCACCCGCTGCGGGGCCTGTCGAGTGGAGGAGGCGGAGGAGGAGCGAGGAGGAGGAGGAGGAGGAGGGGTAGGAGGAGGAGCAGGAGGAGGAGCAGGAGGAGGAGCAGGATGAGGAGCGAGGAGGAGCGAGGAGAAGCAACTTTACAATTTTTCGCGGGCGAGTCGCGGGTGGCTCGCGGATGCGTCGTGGGAATATCGCGGGCGCGGCGCGGGCAGGACGACGACAGCATTAAGCCACGCACCCATGGACGGTATAAGACCGTTTTTTGTTCTCTGACGTAGTTTGGTGTGTCGGTCTCGGATCCGCCAGCTCGTATTTCGTGTCCCTGACGCCGCACCTATCCACGAGGAAGTGAGTTTGAGGCATACGCGTTCCGTTGCGTCGCTTCCGCGGTTTGTATTCAGTTGCGCTTCGGAGAGGCTCAGGTGTACGCACGTACACGGTGGAAACCCATCTTGTTGGAGGCATACTAGCCTCCCGATTCTCGCCGATTCGACTTTTCCCGACTCGGTTGCCGATTTCCGCCGATCCGATTCATTTCGATCGCCGATTCGACTTACCGATTCGATTATGGGTGCTTTTGGGAATGTTAGGGTTGCTCTCTCCACAAGGAGTTCCCAGCGGCAGAACGCACGCTCTGACACACTGCAGCGCTTCGCTTCATCACATCGTCATCCCGCATCATGTATGTATGTACTGTCCCATGAGAGGCCCAGCCCAGAGTGCCGTCACCTGCAGCGGTGCAAAAACAACTACACGCACCAGCCCCGCCCTGCTCCCTATTTCAGGGCCTCGTCCCGCCGTTCGGTCGGTCCCTGCCCCTTTGCTTACCAACTTGTTCCACAAACAGTGCTTGCAGCACAAGGGGTTCTTACTTCGGAAGCGCCTTCTGTGGTCGCTTGGAGGGGGGGGGTTTGGAACCGGACCCCACCCCCCCTGGATGGAGGTGGGGGGGAGGGTTTCGACCCCCCCCCCTCCCGTGACGGAGGGGGGGGGTTCGACCCCCCCCTCCCCTACTTCTCCTTTCTCCCTCTCCTCGGGCCGGCGCAGGCATCGGCGGCGGCTGTCGGCGGCGGCGGGGGTTGCTGGTGGTGGTGGTGTGGCGGTGGTGGTGGTGGTGAGGTGGTTTGTGGTGGTCGTGGTGTCGGTGCTGGGTTGTGCTGCTGGTAGTCGTGGTGGTGGTTGTGGCGTTGGTGGTGGTGGTGTGGTAAATTGTGGTGATGGTGGTGGTAGCGGTGGTGGGTTGTTGTATTGGTGGTGGTTGTGTTGGTGGTGGTGAGCTGTTGTGGTGGTGGTGGTGGCTGTGGTGGTGGTGGTTGTGTGGTGGTTTGGTGGTGGTGGTGGTGGGTTGAGGTGGTGATGGTGGTGGTCGTGGTGGTGGCGGTGGTGGTGGTGTTGGCTTGGTGGTTTGTGGTGGTTGTGGTGGTGGTGGGCTGTGGTGTTGGTGGTGACGGTGCTGCTGGTAGTGGTGGTGGTGGTCGGGGTGGGTGGTGGTGGTGGGTGGTGGGTGGTGGTGGTGGTAATGGTGTGGTGGTTTGTGGTGGTGGTTGTGGTGGTGGTTGTGGTGGGTTGTGGTGGGTTGTGGTGGTGGTGGTGGCGTTTTTGGTGGTGGTGGTGGTGAGGTGGTGAGGTGCTTTGTGGTGATGGTGGTGGTTGTGGTGATGGTGGGTTGTGGTGGTTGTGGTGGTGGTTGTGGTGGTGGCGGTGGTGGTGGTGGTATGGTGGTCTGTGGTGACGGTGGTGGTGGTGGTGGTGGTGGTGATGTGGCCTTCGGCTCTTCCCGCCACTGTGTTTTGGCAACGGGTCAGAGTTCTAACGGATGCCTCTTGAGGTCTCGTCAGAAGGGTCTCGGGGGCGTCTGAGGAGCATGCGAGGGCTCGATATGGCGATTTGTGTGTTCCCACTGCGGCCTCTGGGCCCTCACTGGTCATCGTCGCTGCGTCCGCGCCGTCGGCGCTGATGGCCGCCGCCAGCGCCGGCGCCGGCGTCAGCGTGGGGGGGGGGAGGTTTGACCCCCCCTTCTCCTGGGCTCTCTCTGGTCATCGTCGCTGCGTTGGCGCTACGGCGGCCGCCAGCGCCGGCGCCGGCGCGAGGGGGGAGGGTTTTGGAACTCCCCGCCTCTCTTGGAAGGGGCGAGGGGGGAGGGGGGAGGGGTGGTTTTGACCCCACCCCGGGCTCTCTCTGGTCATCGTCGCGCAACGGCGGCCGCCAGCGCCGGCGCCGGCGCCAAGGGGGTTTGGACCCCCCCCTCCTTGGGAGGGGGGGGGGGGGTCGGGAGGGGGAGGGGAGTTCTTTTGGTTTTGACCGACGGCGCCGAGTGTTTGGGGGGGAGGGTCCCTCCCCCCGGCTTGAAACGCGCCGCCGAATGTTCCCAAGGCAAGCGCTCGTGAAACGCGCTCTCTCTTACTTCGGTTGACCATTTCGGGGTCCTCGCTGCAACATCGCCGCCGTGCCGCCCGTCGCCGTCGCCGCCCGTCGCCGCCATCCCCGCCCGTCGCCGCCCGTGCCGCCCGTCGCCGTCCGTCGCCGCCCGTCGCCGTCACCGCCCGTCGCCGCCATCCCCGCCCGTCGCCGCCCATGCCGCCCGTCGCCAGCCGTCACCGCCCGTCGCCGTCGCCGCATCGCATACATTGCACCATAGGTTGCGTCGCATACACTGCGCCACATTTATTGCACCGCATAGACGGTTGTATCACATACATTCTCCTTTATGAAAGAAGAATCGACTCTACCCCCCCCGGAGTTAACGGTACCCCCTGGGGTATGGCGGTTTCGTATTTATTCTGCACACGTCGTCCATCCTAAATATGAGTTCATACTCTATCCCAGCCAGGCCGGTATCACTTCCCCCCGCCGTCCTCTGCAACAAATACTCTGTGCGCTTTCTCGTTTATCACAATTCATAAATGTTCAAGAATCCCTTCAACAAAAAATGGACGAAGTGCACACGCGCGCGTCGTCGCGCGCGCATGCCGAAATCCTTCAAGAACCTTCGGTTTCGGAAGGATTTCAAAACCGAGTTTCAAAACATATACAGCAACACATGGTTTCGCAACACTGATTTTCTAAATAGCTTACGCGCACGCTCTTTCGACATCTGAAGAAAACCATGGTTTTTTCAAGCTTTTCAATAAATGCTACCAAGCGGTTTGGCGCGCGCATGTCGAAATCTTTCGAACGCCTTTGCGCGCGTGCCGTCGCGAGAATCCTTTGCGTAAAATGGGACGAAGTGCAGACGCGCGCGTTGTCGCGCGCGCATGCCGAAATCCTTCAAAAACCTCCAGTTTCGAAATGAATTCAAAATCGTGTGTCCAGAAAGCCTACAAAAACACAAGGTTTCGCAACACGGATGTTCAACAAAAGCGTGCGCGCGCGCTCTTGCGTCGTCGTCGTCGTCGCCGTCGTCCTGCCTTCCTCGTAGTCGTTGTCGCCGTCGTCGTCCTCTGTCTTTCCTTGTCGTCGTCGTCGTCTTGACGTCGTCGTCGTTTCCGTCGTCGTTGTCGCCGTGGTCGTCCTTCCTCCCTCCTCGTCTTCGTCGGCGTCTCGTGGTTGTCCCTCCTATTTCGTCGTCGTCGTCGGCGTCGTCGTCGTCGTCGGTGGCGGCGGCGTCGTCGTCGGCGGCGTTGTCATCGTCGTCGTCGTCGTCAGCGTCGGCGTCGTCGTCATCGTCGTCGTCGTCGTCGGTGTTGTCGTCGTCGTCGTCGTAGTTGTCGTCGTCGAAGTCGTTGGAGACGTCGTCGGTGTCGTCGTCGTAGTCGTTGTCGGCGGCGTCGTCGTCGTCGTCGTTGTCGCTGTCGTCGTCGGCGTCGGTGTCGGTGCCAAGTGCCATTTGGTACCCACCGTCACGGTCTTAAGAGGTCTTGCGACCAAGTTGCGGGTGGGAGGGTGGGATGTTTGCACGAGCAGTGGAGAGGACAGCTTCAAGTTGAGCAAGTGATTGATTCTCCTTTCTAAAAAGAGAATAGAATCTACCCCCCCCGGCGTTATCGTTCCCCGTTTCAGGTATGTAAATCACATGATTCTGACCACATGTCCATCCTAAATATGAAATCACAATGTCCCAGGCCAACCGGGTTCCCCCCCCTTGAGGTTCCTTTGTAAAAAAACAATATGCGGTGACATTAGATGTTCTAACATAGAGTTTTTTTGACGAATCCCTTGTAAAGAATTGGACGAAGTGCACACGCGCGCGTCGTCGCGCGCGCATGCTGAAATCATTTCAAAAACCTTCGGTGTCGAAATGATTTCGCGATCGAGTTTCCAAAACAACATACAAAAACACAGGGTTTCGCAACACTGATTTGCTAAAACATCTTCCGCGCG